TGAGTTCAGCAAGGTTGCAGGATACAAGATCGATATGTGAAAGTTAATTATATTTCTATACACTTGCAATGAACATTCTGAAAATGAAATTAAGAAAACAATTCCATTTATAATAGCATCAAAAAATACAGGAATAGATATTCTGCAAATGAATTGCAGAAGTTGTACTATGAAAACTACACATGGATGAAAGTAATAAAAATGATCTAAATAAATGGAAAGATATTCCATGCTCATGAATCAGAAGACTCAATATTAAGTGGCAATACTCTCCAAACTGCTCTACAGAGTCAATGCAATTCTTACCAAAATTATGACTGCCTTTTGTTTTTCAGAAATGGACAGGCTGATAGCAAAATTCATATGGAAAATCAAGGAACCCCAAATAGCCGAAACAATCCAAAGAAAAATAAAGTTGAAGGGCTTACATTGCCCAATTTCAAAAAATTACTACAAACCTACAGTAATCAAAACGGTGTAATACTGGCATAAGAATACACATGTCAGTGGAATAGAATTTACAGTCCAGAAATAAACCCACACATTTATGGCCAACTGGTTTTTGATAAGGGTGTCAAGACAATTCAATGGAGGAAGAATAGGTTTTTTAACAAATGGTGCTGGGACAACTGAATAGGTACATGCAAAAGAATGAAGTTGGACCCCTGCTTTATACCATATATAAAAATTGACTCAAAATGGGTCAATGCCTAAATGTAAGAGCCCAAAGTGTAAGACTCTAGGTAGAAAATGTAGGATTATACAATGGTTTCTTAGATACCAAATACAAAGTGACAAAGAAAAAAAAATAGATAAATTGGACATCAAAATTAAAAACTTTTGTGCTTTGAAGGGCATTATCAAGAAAGTGAAAAGGCGACCCACTGAATGGGAGAAAATATTTGCAAATCATATATATGATAAAGGACTTAAATTGAGAATATATAAAGAACTTTTACAACTCAATAATAAAAAAGACAACACGGACATTCCCTGGTGGTCCAGTGGTTAGGACTCCGCACTGCCACTGCAGGGGACCCAGGTTCAATCCCTGACTGGGGAACTAGTATTCCGCAAGCTGCCTGGCCAAAAAAAAGACAACACAATTAAAAAATGGACAAAGATCTGAATAGACATTTCTCTGATGAGAGATCCAAGTTGGCAAATAAGCATATGAAAAGATGCTTGACATCACTAGTCATTAGGTAAATGAAAATCAAAACCACAGTGGGGGATTTCCCTGGCAGTCCAGTGGTTAAGACGCTGAGCTTCCTATGCAGGGGGCATGGGTTCGATCACTGGTTGGGAAACATTTTAGTTTTTTATTGAAGTATAGTTGATTTACGACATTGTGTTAGTTTCTAGTGTACAGCAAACTGATTTAGTTTTATATATATTCTTTTCCATTATGGTTTATTGCAGGATATTGAATATAGTTCCCTGTGCTATACAATAGGACCATGCTGTTTTTATATTTTATATACAGTAGTTTGTATCTGATAATCTTAAACTTCTAATTTATCCCTCCCCAACTCCCTTTCCCCTTTGGTAACCATAAGTTTGTTTTCTATGTGAGTCTGTTTCTGTTTTGTAAATAAGTTCATTTGTATCATATTTTAGATTCCACATGTAGGTGATATCATATGTGATTTGTCTTTCTCTGTCTGACTTGCTTTACTTAGTATGAGAATGTCTAGGTCCATCCCATCCATGTTGCTGCAAATGGAATTATTTCATTCTTTTTTTTTTCATTCTTTTTTATCGTCTTTATCTATTCATCTGTTGATGGACATTTAGGTTGCTTCCATGTTGGCTATTGTAAATAGTGCTGCAATGAACATTGGGGTGAAAGTATCTTTTTGAATTAGAGTTTTCTCCAGGTATATGCCCAGGAGTGGGATTGCTGAGTCATATGGTAGTTCTATTTTTAGTTTTTTGAGGAACCTCCATACTGTTCTCCATAGTGGCTGCACCAATTTACATTCCCGCTAACAGTGTAGGAGGGTTCCCTTTTCTCCATACCCTCTCCAGCATTTATTATTTGTAGACTTTTTATGATGGTCATTCTGACCAGTGTGAGGTGATACCTCATTGTAGTTTTGACTTGCATTTCTCTAATAATTAGTGATGTTGAGCATCTTATCATGTCCCTCTTGGCCATCTGTATGTCTTCTTTGGAGAAATGTCTATTTAGGTCTTCTGCTCATTTTTTGATCGGGTTGTTTGTTTGTTATTGAATTGTATAAGGTGTTTGTATATTTTGGAAATTAAGCCCTTGTCGGCTGCATGGTTTGCAAATATTTTCTCCACTCCATAGGTTGTCTTCTTGTTTTATGGTTTCCTTTGCTGTGCAAAAAGCTTTTACATTTGATTAGGTCCCATTTGCTTATTTTTGCTTTTATTTCTGTTGCCTTGGGAGACTGACCTAAGAAAACATTGCTACAATTTATGTCATGTCCACACAAAATCTTGTAATAGAATGTTCAGAATGCCATTATGTATAATAGCCAAAAAAGTGGTTTGAAACAACTTAATGTCCATCAGCTAATGAATGGATAAACAAAATGTGGCACACATATATATATAATAGAATTTTATTTGACGATAAAAAGGAATGAAGTAATGTTACATGCTACAGTATAGATGAACCTTCAAAACATGCTTAAGAAGCCAGTCATATACTGCATGATTCCATTTACATAAAATGTTCAGAGTAGGCCAGTCTATAGACAAAAAGTTGATTAGTGGTTGCCTAGGGCTGGGTAGTGACTACTAATGAGCATAGGGTTTCTTTTTGGAGTGATGAAAATGTTCTAAACTGTACTGTGGTGATGATTGTGCAACCCTTTGAATGCATTACTTTAAATGGGTGAACTGTATGGTATACTAATTATACCTCAATCCATCTGGTAGCAAAAAAATTATGAGATAATTAGGGAAATTTGAAGATTGACAGGGTAGTGATAATACTAGTTATTACAGTTGAACTGCGTGGGTCCATTTACACATGGATTTTTTTCAGTAAATACATACGGTAGTATACGATCTGAGGTTGGTTAAATCCACAGATGTGGAACCTTGGATTCAGAGGGCTGACTGTGGGACTTGAGCACATGTGAATTTTGGTATCTGCTGCAGGTTCTGGAACCAATCCCCCATGGATACCGAGGGACGACTGTACTGTTAATTTTTCAAGTGTGATAATGGCCTTGAGGTTATATTTATTAAAAAAAATTATCTTTTAGAAATACTAAAATATTTGTGGATGTAAATAATTAGAAACTACTCTTTTGACCCTACCTATTGCTTGAAGTTTTACCCCACTTTTCTGCCCCCCACCTTTGAACCAAACTCCTCCTCCAAATTACCTATTGCCCCCTCTACACGTCTGTTCCTACCACTGTCTTTTTATTTATTTATTTATTTTTGGCTGTGTTGGGACTTCGTTGAAGTGCACGGGCTTTCTCTAGTTGTGGTGAGTGGAGCCTACTCTTCGTTGCGGTGCGCGGGCTTCTCAATGCGGTGGCTTCTCTTGTTGGCAGAGCACGGGCTTTAGGCATGTGGGCTTCAATAGCTGTGGCTCGGGCTTCCCTGGTGGCGCAGTGGTTGAGAGTCCGCCTGCCGATGCATGGCACATGGGTTCGTGCTCCGATCCGGGAAGATCCCACATGCCGCGGAGCGGCTGGGCCCGTGAGCCATGGCCGCTGAGCCTGCGCTCCGCAACGGGAAAAACAAAAAAAATAAAAAAACCAACAACCAAAAAAAAAAAAAAAAAAAAAAAAAAAAAAATTTACAATTCCCCATCCTATTTATTGAACCTTACTTTTCACTTGTCCTTTTTTTTTCTTTCTTTCCCCATTTCAGTTAGACTGCTCTCTTCATTGTACTCCCAGTATGATACCCACTTCCTCTTGAGCCCTTGCTCCACGCCATCTTCTCTGGAATGCTCTTTCATCATCACCCATTCATTTTCAAAAGGCCGCTTGTGCTTTCGCCCCAAAGATGTCCCCTTTTCTAGATCCAACCAGGAGCCATATCCTCCTTGTCATCGCTACGAATCTACACGGGGCTTTGTTTTAGCTGGGTGTCTCCAACCACAACATCTAAGCCCCCGACTATCAAGTGTAGGATCTCACAGGTCCCTCAACACACGACACCCCCACTAGCAGGAGCTCCGATACAAGAATCGAGACGGAGGGAAGCCAATTCACACTTTAAGAGTCGTTTCCACGGAGCAGTGTGTAATCTCACGAAAGCTTTCAACGTCAAATTACTCGCGAGCGCAGGGGCCAGAGGCGGAACGACTGTGGGTCCTCCGGAGTCCTCCAAGGGAGCCCTGTAACTTGCACAGCTTTTAACCCTCCGAGACACTCTCCCACACGTCTTCCAAAAGCAACGCGACGGGTGGACACAAGCAGCCTCATCTGTGCAGCTGCTGGAGGAAGAAAGTCTCAAGGGTCTCCGAGGCCTCCACGGAGCTGGCTCGGCTTCAAAAATGGAAAAGAACCGTTAAAAAGGTGTGCTTCCGGCTCCAGCGCCCGCGCCTTCTCGAGAGTGAAAGGGGGAGCCGAGGTACGGGAAGTCGCAGGGCACAATTTCTTTCGTCCCGGACGCCCGTCCGGGGCGCGACGCGCGTAACCCAGAAGTGAAAGGCCGGTTCCTTCAGGTATTAGACACCCCCCGCCCCCACCGGAGGAAGTTCCGGCTGGACGACTTTTACCCAGGCTTTCTTGGTTCCTCCTGAGCTCTACGCTCCCTGCTTTCTGGTGCCCTACTGCCATGGCCGCTTAGATCCGACCCTCCCCGCCTTGCCTGAGTTTTGCCGCAACTCCTCGGGGGGGGCCCAACTCCATTCTGGCCCCCCTTTCCTTAAAGAACTTTTCCCTACGGGTCCCCATCAGGGCCAATTGACGTTCTCCAAGGAGGCAAAAGCTCCTAGGACTCGCAAGTCCCGAAGCCCGGCGCAGCCAGGGCAGCGCCTGCGCGGGGGCGTTACCATAGAGAAGCAGGCGCCTCTCTGGTCTCGGTTTACACTCTCTATGGTCTAGCCGGGTCGTGGCGGTAAGGGGAAAAAAGAGAGACCGCACTACGCAGGCGCTCTGGGCTTCTAATTTTTTTTTTTTTTTTTTTTAATCCCCGCACCAAGCGCTTAACCTCATTGGGGTGGAGGAGAAGGCGGCGGCCGTCTGGTCTGCAGGGGCAACAGGAGCGACTAATACGGCTGTAAGTTCCCGGTTAGGGCGAGGATGTGTAGACCCCAGCCCTTCCAGGCCCCAGCCCCCCCTCGCGGTGGTGAGCGCCGAGGCTGGGTGGGGGTGAGGTCCAGTGCTGTCATCCGCTCTTGGGTGCACTTTGGGGGGGAGGGGGCGGCCCTTAGGTGGGAGCCGGGCGGGGAGCGGGAGGGGAGGGCTGTTTATCCAGCCCGCAGGTCGCTGATCCCAGGCTGCTTTGCAGAGGGAGGGGGGCGGCTGTGGGGTGAGTCCGGCTTTGTGTGTCCCCCTCTCTTCTCCTCTCCCGGACCCCACCCCGGGCCCCCTTCCCGACCCGAGTCTCCCAGGCCGGGTGGGCAAAGCCGCGTTTGAAAAGAGCGGGTTTCGCGAGGGGAGGGGGCGAGGGGGAGAAACCCACCACAACTATAGTCACGGGCGAGTGATGGGTGTGGAGGAAGATCCGGGGGGAACGAAACGGGTCCAGGCGGGCCAGACAAAGCCGAGTGCTGGCCGGGCCGAATGCGCAGGGAGCCCGCGGTTCCTGGGCCCGCAGCGAGCTTCTTCGGAGGCTGGCAAAGCGGACAAGTGCTGAGTTAAGCCTTGTGCAGCCTCCTCAACTTGCCTTTGTTGTTCTTCGGTATTGGCAGGGACGCTCTGACGGAGAGGAGTGTGTGCTCTTGCACGTTAGCCTGGTTGGCTACAATGGAGCTAATCGCATCTTACTTTCCCGTTTTCCGAGCCGCTCGGATGAGTCTGGGGTTCTCCAGAGTCTCACTTATTACATAATTTTTAATACTTGTTTTTACTCCAAAAATTAAAAACAAAAATTAGATGGAGACTTGAAGCGTGTTTTGTTGCATCTGGGTGAGTTTCTCTGTCTTGGGGTTCGTTCATTAACTGCTGACCATCCGTAGAACCTGTGAGCTCTTTAAACCTGGTACTTTGATTTGTAGATGTGGCGTCCAGAGCTTTAGATTCTCTAGTCCTTTGGGAGGCAGTGATGCAGAAGAATCAGAAGCGAGAAATAGTTGCCTGCTGCCATGTGCCTTGCACCCTATTCGGGGGCCAGAGTCCGGTATAAATGATGGCTTTAGAAATTGTTGCTTTTATTACTATTATTGTGACATTTGCCGTGCCCTTGATATGAGGAATCCTGGACCGTGGGCTCCCTTTGCTCATCCAAAGCAAAGGGAGCAGTGGAGAGTAGTAACATTGCTGCAGAGACCATACAGATAAGAAAAACTACACCACAGTATTCCAGAGTTACTGAACATTATTTATCTTCTCCATTTGCTAAGAAAGATTTAAATTTTGGTGAGCTGTTTGTTTATCCATTTTTGTAAGATTGTGTAATTGCACCTTTTTTGGCAATTGTTACTCAGATCTCAGTTTCTGTAATTCATAGTTTATCAGCTAACGTGTAGCAGTTTCAGATTTCTAAAGTTTTAATTTTTGTTGAGTTTTCAGCCGTAGTTTTATATTCTCCCAGCTAAGGTTAAACGGAGTCAGAAATCCTTTGAAGACACTGTTGGTGGTGGAGGTGTCATATATTTTATCTCCATGTCACAATTTAAGCGGTATTAAGTAGGGAAAAGGCCTTTGCACCTTAAATCAGTGTTAGAACTGAAAACCTTGATCTCCTAGTGTGCCAGGAATTTGGCCACAGACTCAACTTTACGTAAAAGAGGTAGGCATTTTTTTATACTAACAGGAAGCAAAAATCTGAAGCTTGGTTTTTTGTGCTTCAGTAACTGCTGCGATAGAATCTCTTAAGTGTAGTTCAGATGATAGGAACTTGCTTTTTATAGAGCAAGATTTCAGATCCTAAAATAGTTTGACAGGGATGTTGAGAAGTGAATGGCCAGAAGACCATTAAGTTTATCATTCAGATGTGTTATATTTTGTTCATTGGTCTGGGATCTTAGATTTTTTTCCTTCAGTCCCTTGTTAATTCTTTTTTAGGTGGATTAATCTCACAGTTTATAAATTGGGTGAGATAGTTTTTTGGACCTGAGACATAAATTAATTTTTTCAGACTCCATTTATTCTTAAGTCTTCTACTTATAAAGTTTTAGTTTTTTAGATTGGTAGATAATACTTTATATTTCATAGTACTGTTGGTAAATGTTATAATCATTTAAGGGATCATAAATGTTACGCTCAGAGCTGAGTTTTGATAAGAGTTTTGATAACTGCAAGTCTGGTTGTCAAACAGTGGAAAGAATAGACAGTAGCAGAAACTAACAAATGTTTAAAGACAGAATCACTGATGATTCAGTCTTTGGTTTGTGAAATGTAATTTAAGAAAGTAAACTAAGCTTTCTTTACCCAGTGCAACCAGGTCGGCATCCATAAAGAGTGTGTGTGTTTGGCTGACTGACCTCTGAAAGCCTTTTCTTTTAGCACCAGAATTTCCTGACTGTTTCTAGCCGGGTCTTCGTCACCCCAGGGCTTTCCCGCCTCCCTTATGCTCAGACCATTAGTGCCATGCTGAATGCATTTCCTCCCCAGATTCTTAGGGCAGCCACAGTCCACTTCCCCACAAGGATCCCTAAAGACGTAGCTCAGATGTGTTCAAAGGGTAGCATTGCTTCCGTAACACCTTTGTTTACTTTTCTCTTGTTTCTTGCCTGGAATTCTCCTGCCTCCTTGCTGGTCCCTGTTGTATCAATTATCTTCCTCCTTGGAAGATTCACTCCGGTGATTTACTTTTCTCTAGATCCTTCAGGGTTCTGTGAGTTTGTAGAACACTTTGTGCTAGCTCTGTGCTTGGACGACTGCACTGGTGTAACTAGTCACTGTAGAATGTGTGAAGGAGTAAAGGAATGTATCGTAACTTAGAGTAACAGAATTTGAGCCTTGGAAGAGCTCTTAGAGGCCCCATAGTCCCACATCCTGCCTTTTATCTACGATATTTTGGTCTTTAGCCACAAACTGCAGGCACACTTTCCTGTCTCTGGACAGGTCTTGGTTGCTAGAAAGGTATTTTAGACTGTCTCCAAAACTGCCCCTCCCCTTTTACCTGTTGATCTTAGTTGTACCCCCGGAAGCAACATGAATCACGTCTGTTTCTTTTCTATGAAAGAGCCTTTCATTTCCCAGGACAGTCATCAGGCCTTCTCTAGATTTATTGATTAATTTATTAAACCCGTTCTTTAGTTAGATACCAGGGTACAACTGTACCACGAGGGTACAGCTGAAAAGACATACCTGGTCCCCGCACTTCAAGGGCTCACTCACCGTCTAATAGAGAAGACAGACAAAACAGTTACAAATTGGTGCTGAAGTATGTAAACAGCCCTAGACCCTTTGTCCCCTTATGGTTTAATCTGATTTCACCACTCTCTCTTGAGACAACTTGGTTTTGTTAGGGTCCTTTAAATGAGATGTTTGAAATAAAGCAGAATTTATTTATACTGACTAGAGTATACAGTTACTGTTGTAGGTTAGGAAACTGTATCAGGGATTTTCAAACTTTGTTGTGCTTTCTGGCTTTGCCACTTACTAGCCCTGTGACTTTGGGCCATGGGCCAGTGAAATCATCTCTTTGTATTTCAGTGATTACCTCTATAAAAGGAGGGTGGAGGGAGGGCAGTGTTAATAGTAGTATCTACTTATAGGACTGTGTCAGGATTAAGTGAGATAATATATGTAAGATGCTGAGAACAGTGACTGGTGTATACTGAGTGGGTATATGGAATTCCTGTCATGTGTTCATGGTGGCGGTTAATATTAATAACAGCGTAATAATAATAGCAGCAATCAGGTCACCAGAATCACTTGGAGAGCTTCTTAAAATACAATGGCCTGGTCTTATTTATCCCCAGCCACCCAGAGATTTTGGTTAGTTCAGTCTGCATGGGGTCTGGGCAGCCATAGTTTTTATTTATTTGTTTATTTATTTATGGCTGCGTAGGGTCTTCGTCGCTACACGCAGGCTTTCTTTAGTTGCGGCGAGCGGGGGCTACTCTTCGTTGCGGTGCGCAGGCTTCTCATTGTGGTGGCTTCTCTTGTTGCGGAGCATGGGCTCTAGGCGCACGGGCTTCAGTAGTTGTGGCTCGCGGGCTCTAGGCGTGCGGGCTCACTAGTTGTGGCGTGTGAGCTTAGTTGCTCCGTGGCGTGGTGTGTGGGATCTTCCCGGACCAGGGCTCGAACCTGTGTCCCCTGCATTGGCAGGCGGACTCTTAACCAGTGTGCCACCAGGGAAGCCTGTGGGCAGCCATAGTTTTAACAATCCCCAGGTAATTCTTAAAAACCCAGTTTGAGAATCCTACATTCTCTATTAATTTTGTCAGTGATTACATTTGCTTTTACGAATTAAAATAAATGACCAAGAAGTAGACAAATAGATTCTCCTGAAAGATTTGAACATCCGGATAAAGGGACAGGCCTGGCCCCAGACCCTGGGCCCCTTGGGAGGCATATCTGTTTATTATTGGTTTGGAGTGTACCTCCTAAACACGGTTACCCTTGTTTGTAGCTGCATGTATATGAACGTCTTTATAATACTAATAGCCAGATTCAAGGGAACAAACCCTGGATTTTCAAAGCACTTGTACATTCATAATCTTTGTTTCCTTCAAGATCCTGTGAGGTAGGCAGAGAAGATACCATCATTATCCTATCAATTTACAGATGAGAACCCAAGACCTGCAGGTTAAATCCCAGTACATGCTAGAACTAGGATGGGAACTGGGCCTTCTGTTTCTCGCCTAATGTTGTTTTCATGTAAATTGTCTCCTAGCTACATGAGTTTGTTACCTTATATTGAAGTTGTGGTTCGAAGTCCTCTGATCTTTTGCCACATGAGTAGCTGCCAAACCAGATTTCCTCCTTTCTTTTAGTGTGTTTATACTTGCTTTTAAAAAATGTAAATTTAAGATTAATAGTTACCATATCTGGGGGCGGCGGGTGGTGGTGGGATGAACTGGGAGATTGGGATTGACATTTATACACTAATAGGTATAAAATAGGTAACTAATAAGAACCTGCTGTATAAAAAAAATAAAATAAAATTCAAATAAAAAAATAGTTACCATATCTGTTAAGGTTTATTTTTTTCTGAAAAAAAGCCTAGAACTGGCCTCGTGGCCATCTTGTTACCATGGCACATTTGGGTGTGTTTATCTTCGTTCTGGATAGCTGAGGTCAGTGAATCCACTTTGCAGCTCTCTAGAATGGTTGTCCAGTTAACTTTCCAAGCAGAATCAGTTAAATTTACTTAGAGTCCTATTACAGTGATAGGCAATAATACAAAAAGTTGAGAGGCCAGAGGGGGAAAACCCATGCCAAGCTGTCCTCACACAAGGTCTTGTCTTTTCATTTATTTTTAAACATTCATGTGACTCGCTATTTTAAAAATTAAATTTTTTTTCTATTTTGTACTTTTTGGTTGCATTGGGTCTTCGTTGCTGCGCGTGGGCTTTTCTCTAGTTGCAATGAGCGGGGGCTGCTCTTCGTTGTGGTGCATGGGCTTCTCACTGCGGTGGCTTCTCTCTCTCTTTTTTTTTTTTTTTTTTTTTTGCGGTACGCGGGCCTCACTGTTGTGGCCTCTCCCGTTGCGGAGCACAGGCTCCGGATGTGCAGGCTCAGCGGCCATGGCTCACGGGCCTAGCCGCTCCGCAGCATGTGGGATCTTCCCGGACCGGGGCACGAACCTGTCTCCCCTGCATCGACAGGCGGACCCTCAACCACTGCGCCACCAGGAAAACCCACAGTGGCTTCTCTTGTTGCGGAGCACGGGCTCTAGGCGCGTGGGCTTCAGTAGTTGTGGCTCGTGGGCTCTAGAGCGTGGGCTCAGTAGTTGTGGTACATGGGCTTAGTTGCTCCGCGGCATGTCGGATCCTCCTGGACCGGGGCTCGAGCCTGTGTCCCCTGCATTGGCAGGTGGATTCTTAACCACAGCTCCACCAGGGAAGTCCCTTTTTTTGTATTTATTGAGGTAGAATTGACACACAACAGTATATTAGTTCCCAGGTTTGCAACGTAATGATTCAATATTTTTGTATATTGTGAAGTCATCACCGCAGTTAAGTCAAGATCCATCACCCTACAGAGTTGTAGAATTTTTTCCTTGTGATGAGAACTTCTAAGATCTACTCTCTTAGCACCTTTCAAATATGCAGCACAGTACTATTAACTGTGGTCATCATGCTGTGCATTATAACCCCAGGACTTATTTATTTATAACTGGAAGTTTGTACCTTTTGATGCCCTTCACCCATCCCCCCCCACAAGGTTTTTGCTTAATGCGTCACCCTTTAAAGCTGTCCATATGTCCATGCTTTGTAGTAAGTAATTTTAGGTCTTGCGTGTTTTTTGAATAGTTTCCGTGTAATGACATAGTACACATCATTTAAATTTTTAATAGCTTTGTCGTATTTGAGTTGATATGGCAAATTTTGGTAAACTGGGATCCTTGACAGGCACGTTATCTTTTATTTTTTTGATATTATATATACTACAACGGTGGCTTTTTTTTTTTTGCATGTAGTTTGCTGCTTTTGTGTTGTTTCCTTCAGATCAATTTTAAGAAGTGAGAATATTGGGTGACTTTTGATACATATTGCCTGATTGCTGACCAAAAAGTTGAACAAGGTAATAACTTCCTAAGCAATTTAAGGGTGTTTGACAAAAATTTTACCAACTTCTGGTAATATGATTTAAGTCATTTTTTTTTGTTGTTCTTTTTGTTCCTGTGAGAGGTGCAGAACGTGCAGGTTGAATTGGATATCACCTGCGGTGATCTCTCTGCATTGCCAAAGCTCGTGTGTTTTTGACAGGTATGGAGGAAAACGCAGGTCTTACTTTGTGGGGCGGACTGGTCTGTTTGCCAACATCAGAAGGTAGTCTTGTAACATCTCCGTGCCTTCCCTTTTCAACTGTTTCTTTACACAGTTGTGCTCAAGGGCCCTGCCTGAAATACTTAGCAATCAGAGTGTCTGGCGGTGGGGGTGAGGCATCTGTGTCTAACAGATTTCCCAAGTGATTCTGAGGCCACCAGCATTGGAGAGCTGCCTCAGGTCCACCTCCAAGCTGATTTCCTGCTCCGCTTCTCCACAGAGCACGTCTCTCCTGCTGGTAAAGGCAGGGCTCTGTTGTGAACAGAGGCCTGTTGTACAGAGAGAGTGAATTGTGTAGCCGCGCCCTTCCTAACGTGGAGTAGCTGGGTTCATTCTGTGAACAATAAGCCAGTCTTTCTAAGAGTTTGAACTGCATAGAAACAGCTCCTTCTCTGAAGTCTGCGTTTTATTTAAGTTCTGGTAAGTCATAGAATTCTCCAGATCCAAGCCATGTCCTGCTCAGCCTTTGGTTGCCTCTGGGGTGGCAAACAGACCTCCCGTCCCAATAGCAACAGCCGTCATAGACTGAACACCCACCATCTGCCAGGCACTAGGCTGGGTGCTGTAGGAGTACTTTTGTCAGTTCTTATGTCAACGTTTAAAGGTAGATGCTGTTTTCATTTCATAACGAGAGGAAGCCAGAAGCTTCGTTAGAGCGCTTGAGTAATGTGTCCATGGTCACACGGCTGCAGAGTAGCCGAGTTTGCCTCTTGGATTCTTCACCTTCCTTTCCACTTATCTCTGTTTTTTTCCAGCACAGGTTATTCTTCCTGCATGGAAGGTCACTGGGCTGCCTTGGGGGAAAGTCTGCTTCCAGCATCCGGCAGCATCTGGAGAGGCCTCTTCACTGGTCAGGAAGGATGTAGAGATGCAAGCTTCCCACTAAGGTTTCCATGAGGGTTAGTCAGATCTGGGGGCCTACAGTCCATTTTGGATTTGAGTCCCTGATTTGAAATCTTACCCTTTGGCAATCCAGACTCCTAAAGACTTTATAGAAACTGTTTTTTTTTTTCTTTTTATTGTAGTAAAATATATATAATATAAAATATGCCATTGTAACCATTTTTAAGTATATAATTCAGTGGCATTAATGACATTCACATTGGGTAACAGTCACCACAATCTGCTTCCAACTCTTTCCCATCACCCCAAACAGAAACTCTGTAACTATTAAGCAGTAAATCCCTGTTCGTCCCTCTTCCTCAGCCCCTGGTAACTTCTAATATTCTAGTTCTATGAATTTGTCTATTCTAGATATTTCATATAAATGGAATAATATATGTCCTTTTATGACTGGTTTATTTCACTTAACGTAATGTTTTCAAGGTTCATTTATGTTGTAGCCTGTGTCAGAATGTTATTCCTTTTTAATTGCTGAATAATATTCTGTTGTATGGATATTGTACATTTTATTTATCCTTTATCTGCTGATGGAACTTGGGTTGTTTCCACTTTCTGACTGTTGTGACTAATGCTGTAATGTATGTGGGTTTACAAATTTCTGTTTGAGTCTTTTTTTCAATTCTAGGTGTATACCTAGGAGTAGAATTACTGGATCATGTGGTAATTACATGTTTAGCTTTTTGAGGAACTGCCAGGCTTTTTCCACAGTGGCTGTACATTTTTACATTCCCAACAGCATCGTACAAGGGTTTCAGCTTCTCCATATCCTTGTCAACACTTGTTATCTTCTCTTTGTTTCTGATTTTTAAAATTATAGCCATCCTAGTAGATGTGAAGTAGTATCTCACTGTGGTTTTGATTTGCATTTCTCTAATAATTAGCGATATTGAGCATATTTTCATGTGCCTGTTGGCCATCTTTATGTCTTCTCTGGAGAAATGTCTCTTTAGGTCTTCTGGCAGTTTTTTTTTTTTTTTTTGCTGTACGCGGGCCTCTCACTGTTGTGGCCTCTCCCGTTGCAGAGCACAGGCTCCGGACGCGCAGGCTTAGCGGCCATGGCTCACGAGCCCAGCCGCTCCGTGGCATGTGGGATCTTCCCGGACCGGGGCACGAACCCGTGTACCCTGCATCGGCAGGCAGACTCTCAACCACTGCGCCACCAGGGAAGCCCCTCACTGTGGTTTTGATTTGCATTTCCCTAATGACTAAGATGTTGAGCATCTTTTCTTGTGCTCATTGGCCATTTGTATATCTTCTTTGGAGAAATATCCATGTATCTGTGCAAGTCCTTTGCCTCTTTTATTTTTTTAGATTGAAGTATAGTTAATTTACAATGTTGTGTGAGTTTCTGATATACAGCAAAGTGATTCAGTTATACATATATATATTTTCATATTCTTTTCCATTATCGCTTATTACAAGATATTGAATATAGTTCCCTATGCAATACAGTAGGACCTTGTTGTTGGTCCTTTGCCCATTTTTAAATTGGATTGTGTGTCTTTTTGTTTTTGAGTTTTAGGAGTTCTTACATATTCTGAATATTAAACTCTTATCAGATATATGATTTGCAGATGTTTTCTCCCATTCATTCTATACGTTGTCTTTTCACTTTCTTGATAACATATGTTCTTTGCTGCACAAAAGTTTTTAATTTTGATGAAGTTCAATTAATGTATTTTTTCTTTTGCTGCTTATGCTTTTAGTGTTATGTCTAAGGATCTATTGCCAAATCTAAGGTCTTGGCGATTTACTCTCGTGTTTTCTTCTTAGAGTTTTATAGATCTAGCTCTTCCATTGAGGTTGTTGACCCATTTTGAGTTAGTCTGTATAAATAGCGTGAGATAGGGCTCTAACTTTGTTGTTTTGCTTGTGGACGTCCAGTTGTCCCGCTTGTGGACGTCCAGTTGTCCCAGCACCATTTGTGGAAGACTAATGACGACTGTACTTACCTTCTGTATCACTCAGTTGGCGTTTATGTTTTGCTTTGGGTTTTTTTTTTTTTTTTGCGGTACGCGGGCCTCTCACCGCTGTGGCCTCTCCCGTTGTGGAGCACAGGCTCCGGACGCACAGGCCCAGCAGCCATGGCTCACGGGCCCAGTCGCTCCGCGGCACGCGGGATCCTCCCGGACCGGGGCACGAACCCGTGTCCCCTGCATCGGCAGGCGGACTCTCAACCACTGTGCCACCGGGGAAGCCCTGCTTTGGGTTTTTGACTTCACCGCCTGCCCTCCTCAACCTCAACACCCTCCCACCCTGCCTTGTTTTCTTCCCTTGAGACAGGATTCATGGATGTTGCGTGTGTATTGCAGTTTTGCTACTTGATGTGTAAGATACACTTAGTGAATGTGAGTTCCCTTTCTTTAGATTTTGTATAGTTACTTTTAAGTCTCCTGTGTTCGGATATAGATTATAAGGACCTTCAGAGTAGACTATATATCTCTGTTTTTCAATTTCCCACCTTCTTTTGTCCCCCATTCACTCTAGTGCCCAGTCCAGTACTGTGTTAAGTGATGTGCTTAACTTTTATTGACTGAATTGTGAAGTTGAACATAGATCTTTGTGAATACATTTGGGTAATTGCAGAAAATTATTCTTTTTTTTTTGGGCAGGTGGGGCTGTACCACGCAGCTTGTGGGATCTTAGTTCCCCAACCAGGGACTGAGCCAGGGCCCACGGCAGTGAAAGGGCCAAGTCTTAACTACTGGACTGCCCAGGAATTCCCAGAAAATTATTCTTAAAAGAATAATGATCAGTATATTATAAAGTTCTTTAAGAGTTTAAGTTCAGGTCCTTTTAAGTCATTTTCCCAAATGTGGGGATTGATGATAGTATTGTGCCTTTCAAATGCCTTAGGAATTTTTTTGTATGTGACATTAGCTATATGGATAAATGTCAGTTAGGCTGCATAATATGGTGTTCATTTCATGGATGATTAAAGCATTTTTAACTTGTTATTTAAGATTATGATGAGGGCTTCCCTGGTGGCGCAGTGGTTGAGAGTCTGGCTGCTGATGCAGGGGACACGGGTTCGTGCCCCGGTCCGGGAAGATCCCACATGCTGCGGAGCGGCTGGGTCCGTGAGCCATGGCCGCTGAGCCTGCGCGTCCGGAGCCTATGCTCCGCAGCGGGAGAGGCCACGACAGTGAGAGGCCCGCGTACCGCAAAAAAAAAAAAAAAAAAAAAAAA